TTCGGTATTTTTACCGAACACAGAAACAAAATCTTAGTGTGTGAGAACAACAACCGTGGCACAGTGAGATCGAACGAAGACTCCGGCAGCAACACACCCCAACAGTCCATGATCGAATCCCAAATCAGACCCATTAAAAAGATATGTGAAAGCTCTGGCCTCTGGCAGTTTTGTTCATATATTTGTTGATTCATTTTTAGAGTCGGCAAATAGAAGTCGATAAACTATAATATTGTAGAATATTGAACTATGATGTGCAAAGCTATTGATATCACCAAATGAGGCACATAGAATCCAAGTGTGTAACAATTATTTATTTCCATTTCGTCAAGCCAGTGTAAACTACATACAATGATTATTGCAATGTTTACTTACATACTATGCATTAATTCTATTCTGTTTTAGCTTAGTTTGTATTTGCTGCTTGGACATAGTGATGTCAATAGTTCCGCAATGCAAATTATATAGGTGCATCATTCGATTGATTGGGCTATTTTTTGCATAGTTTGTTCTGTACGATGTTTCTGAAAATAAATTCCGTGTTCTAAGATATCGACAAGGTGTGTAAAAATTTAATTGTGCGAGAATTTCTGCCGAATCTATGCGCATTGAAATAATGTCGTTGATGAAGAAAAGCATTGCAAATTGGCGGCGCTCCTTAAGTGTTTGTATATTGATGAGCATGCAGCGCGCTTCATAAGATGGTAATGGAAATGCAGTCCAATTCAATTTACGTAAAGCATATAAAAGGAATTGTTTTTGGACAGATTCTATGCGTTCTTCGTGTATGGAAATGTATGGATTCCATACTAGGTGGCAGTATTCCAGAATTGGCCTTACATATGTGGTATATAATAGCTTAATAGTGTATGGGTCTTCGAAATTATGACTGAACCTTTTGATGAAGCCTAGCATTCTGTTTGCTTTACTAATGATAGTATTATAATGTTCTATAAAAGTTAGTTTGGAGTCTAGGATTACTCCTAGATCTCTTACAATTTTGCTTTTTTCTACTATTTGGTTGCCTAATGATATTTCAATACGCGGTGTTTCAATTTTTCTGCTAAATGCTATTGCAGTACATTTTTTTACGTTCAGTTTAAGTAGACTTTTACTACACCAGGTGTGGAATATATTGATTTCATTCTGGAATTCTTCTGCATCGCTAGAATTACTTATTTCCATAAAGAGCTTCATGTCGTCTGCATATACAAGCAATTTTATTTTTTTAAGTATGTAGGAAATGTCGTTTATGTACAAAATAAAAAGAAGTGGGCCTAAATGAGAACCCTGGGGTACCCCAGAGGTGACTGAAATTGGTTCTGAAAGTTTATTTTGAAAGCGAACTATTTGTTTACGATGTGTTAGGTATGATTGAAGCCAATTCAAAAGTCCAGGCTCCATTCCTATTTTCTGCAATTTGAGGATTAATAATTGTATGTCGATGCGGTCAAATGCTTTACTGAAGTCGGTGTATAGCGCTTCAACGTGCTTGCCACTGTCCAACGCTTTAATAATGAAAGATACATATTCTAGAAGATTAGAGGTAGTTGAACGACCTTTAAAAAAGCCGTGCTGTTTACTTTGTAACCAGTGGTGTGTCTATCTGTCTAAGATTGTTGAGATTGTCGCGATTCGATTGTGTTTCGATTTAAATGTTATGAATGCCAGGAAAGGATTCAAATATTAGTGCCAACACCGCCCACCACCCACTGGACAGCACGCAACCACTCCACGAAGTTCCGCTACTCACAGCCAGATGCCGCTGACAGCAGGATTGGGAGGCCATCGGGAGGTGGTGTAAAAGGGGCCATGATGGGGCGAAATTGGGCTGAAGAAAAATGGATTAACGATCGAGAGCGCAAGGAAATCACCCGCCATCGTTGCTAGCTAATTGCCTGGCAAAAGTTAAAAGTGGTAGTCGAAAACCAAGCTAGACAAATCCAAATCGAATGTGATATACATCAAAGTGAATGATTGTTATTCGAGTTAAAGTTAGTAGCCTGCACGAGTCTTGAGGCGCGAAACTCGATCAGTAGTGGAGGAGGAGCCAACCTACTGAAATATCCAGGTAAAAACCCCTTCAAGCCAAAACCCGAATTGCCCTCATCATTAACCGCCATCATGGTATCCTATTGTGCCCACAGGACCCCGTAGTTTACCGTTTACCGTTATCATTATCTACGGCGCGAACCAGCCGCGTTTACTAGTCCGTGTTCATCGCCATTGTGGATCGGCCTTGAGCGTCGTGGACACGTTATACAGTTCGCGAACGGCTCGGCAAACGGTACCGTGGGAGCACCCGTAGGAGAAGAGGAGAGTGAAGGGTTAAGAGGTGAATCGACTGGGCAACCCACAGTCGAAACCGAGGGACGAAGAACAGAAGCAAAGGAAAGGAGAAAGTGAAGGTGAAGGTGTAGCGGAACGGAGGAGAAGGGGGCCCCCATCGACAACGGAAGACGAAGGAAGAACTACCGAAGGTTAAGGTAGGAGATAACCGATAAGAAAGTGGGAAAGTAGGGAAATAAACGAGACCTGTGTGTGAGAGTTCATCGGGGTGTGTAAAGAGTATTTGAGTGTTTCCTTGGCCGCGATAGTCACACGTGTATGCCGACCCTGAGGCAGTGTAGAGGGGGGTCTCATTGATGCTGGGCAGGGAGTACCCCAATTGTTACAACTTGTAATTAGATTTTTCACCTGCTGAAAAATATTGCCGTTTACGATTGATTCAAAAAGTTTTGGAATGCAAGAAATAATAGCAATTCCACGATAATTTCGAATGTCTGATTTTGCACCTGATTTGAAAATAGGTACCAAATAAGATGATTTCCAAATTTCAGGGAATTTTCCATTTTTCAGAGACATGTCGAAAAGACGCTCTAGAGGAAATGCGAGTTCTTCAGAAAGGTTTTTCAAAAATATGGGTGCGATGCCGTCAGGTCCAGACCCTTTCGACGCGTTTAAGTTTTTTAGTGCATTGAGGTCTTCATGTTGAGAAAGTTGGTTGACAGAGATGTTTTTAGAAATTTCAGGAATGAATGCAAAGAAATCGCGGTCACGATCTTCTTCGGAAAATGTGGTGTATACTTCTTGGAAGAAATTTGCAAAGAGACTGCAAATTTCAGAAGAATTCTCCCCTACATTTGCATCCAAATTCATTCGCGAAGGAAAATTGCTGCTTTTTAATTTCGTGTTTACATAATTAAAAAAGTTCTTAGGACATGATTTGACTTCATTTTCGACTTTGCGGTTATAGTCCTCATATGCAGAGTTGGTGGCTGTATGTAATTGGTTGCATAAGTTGTGATAGTTTCGCAAATTGGTTTCAGTTTTTTCTTTTTAGTATAGTTTATGAGCTTTCTGTTTTTTATTCTTCAAATTTTTCAGTTGTGGATTGAACCATGCGGGTAGTTTATTGTTTTGTGTTCGTCTTCTTTTTTTTTGATGGTACAGTTTCTAAGATTAGGTTTTGTAGAATTAAGTGAAATTTTTCTACTTCAGTATCGACATTTCCTTCAATACTTATTAAATTTTGCCAATTTATTGTACATAGTCTACGTTTGGCTTCTTCGTAATTTGCTTTGTGGTATTCCGGCACTTCCTCGTATTCCCAGTCGCTGGTGGAGGAAGAATTTTGTACGAAGATTGAGTATTCAATTGCTGTGTGAAACACTTCATTTTTCCATAAAGGTGCTAATGATGTATCCACACAGAAGTCTTCAGTACAATTTGTAAATAAAAGGTCTAAATATGAGTTTTGTTGATTTTTACATGGTGTATTTGATTAAGACCAAAATAAGATATTTTGTCGAATAATGATTGTAATGCTTCGTCTTCACCTACGACCGGGAGTAAAAATGATTCATTTTCAATGTCTGTAATAAAGTCTGCGTTTCGTTGATTGAAGTCGCCATAAATATGCAGTTTTACTTCTGGTTCCATATTTGACATTATAGTTTCAACAATTTGAAAAAATAGTTCAAAAGACTGCTTGTGGGCATGTTTAGGTGGAAAATACACAGAAGAAAAAATGTGTATTTCACCGGCAATAAGTGCTTTGACCCAGACATTTTCGAATTCCTTGTGCTTATTTGTTATGATTTCTTCAGAAGTAAAGTCAGCATTGATGGCAATGAGCACTCCACCACCAGACTTTTTATTACAGAGTTGAAAATTCCTGTCGTGCCGGAATACATTAAAATTGTTTCCAAAAATTTCTTCGCTTCTGCGTCAGAAAGCGTCTTTCGTCCCAGCTTGTTTCAGTTCCAAGAATTATTTGAAAAGAAGAAGATAGAATGTTCTGATGGATTTCTTTCATTTTAGCTGGGCTTTTCATGCGATTGAAATTTTGGCAATACACCAACACCAACAATTCAAATCCATAGTGTTCAGGCACGATTCATAGCATAAGATTCACACATGAAATGAATGTGTTTCACAATAAGCGCAAAACTAAGTGTGAGACACATGATGATGACGTGTGGAATGTTTTGAGTGTAAAAATGATCCTTAAGTAGTAAAATTTCCTCATTTAAAGTGTAGGTGAGAATGAGACAACATTTAACAACAAGATTCCTTCCTGCATTTATCAACTTCACTCTCTCCTAATTTACGTTACAAACTTCCACCTCGCAACGCATTCAAATTCAGGTTAAAAAAAATTATAAAGGTGGACGTAATTCCATTAGCGCATATGCTACAACTCTATGCTATGCTATACTGACCTGAGCGCAAAAACCAGACATAGACCTAAATAAAAAAAACTATTTTTCGTTCATGTTTTCATTATGGAGAGATTTTCCCCGAAATTCGCCTGTTTTACTTGGATAATTTGGCATCCCTCGTCCGTCTAATAGTTCTCACTTCGAAATGTAGGTGGCGAAAGCTCGCTAAAGTTTCACGGCAAGACGCCAATACACCCGCATTTTGCAAAACGTCATCTTCTACTGACAGCTGACACTCAGTAATTCAAATCGAGTGACAGAGTGGGTAGACGAATCAACCACAAACGACAAGGAAGGATTCTACCAAAGCGATAGAACAATATCACTGACGGCGCTAGAGTTGCTGTGGTCGTGAGACAGGCAAGCTAAAAATATAATCAGATGAAGTCATACACAAACGCGTACAGGAGAAATCAGAAGAACGCCAAGTTCAAATTGTGAGCAAAAAAAAAAATATTCATATGAACTTTTGCTGTTGAGTGTGGTGTTTTGGAGTGGCAAAGTTTTTCGCACAGCGATTCGTGGGAATCCCCGTTTGCAGAGTTTGGACGTGAAGAAACTTTCTGATAGAGATTTTGCCATCATCGTGTAGTGCACATCCGGGTAGGATAATTCGCCATTGGAAAAGAGCCTGATTCGTTCGACGCCAACGTAGAGAGGGGACAAATTTTATGTGAGTAGTGTAACTTTTCCATTTGTTGTGAAATGGTGGATGAAGATGGATCATGACTGTAATTAGGATGACAAAAGGCTAATCAATACGGAGTGACCGTAAAGTAGAGGGATGACCCGTTTAAAATTCCTTGCCTGCGTTTCGAATCGGAAAAAATTACGTCAATCGCATCTATGTGCAAATTTTCAGTTGCCTCTTCTACGTTTCTGTTTGATGTGCGAGCGATGTTTATGCGAGTGGGTGAGGATGATTGCGAATAAATACACTAGCAGCATCGTTTGGCTTAAATCGCAAGAATAGCCATGAAACATCTGGTCGCTGTACAATGTTTGGGTTGGTGCTCATTACTCTTTGCTTGGCAATTGCTTTTTTAGAGGTGTCTAGTTACGAGTATGGAGCAGATTGTAAGTGTTGTTAGTGAAACTGATGAAAAATGAGAATCAAAATAAACTGAATCGGCGTGAAACCAGCCCAGCTACACAGCCTCAGAATAACCGGAATCCATAAATTTCCCACAAAATTTTTCATTCCACTGTTGAAAAGGTGACGATAATACGGATTCTTATCGGGTGAAACTCCTATTTATCAAGTGACTAAAATATTTGAAAATATGCATTGGTAATTTAGAGAAGTGTCCGTGACATTGCTGCTGTTTGTATGTAAATGGGATATCTCATCACAGTAAGATTAATTTGTCAACAGTACATCTGCTTCAAAAAAGGTGACCATCAACTCTGTTTGTCAGATTTGGACTCTATTGCCGGCACTTTTTCACTTCGATCGGCGATTTCTGGCAAACGTCTATTGATTCACACAGAGTAACAGCACCATCTGACAAATAAGACAATTCCCAATATTTTGGTAATGTTGATTCAAATGATTGAGCTATTATTTGCGATAAATAACCCATGGAAGTGAAGAAAGAAACGGCGGATAATCAAGTCCGACCTGTAGTGCTTTATTAAATGGTTTCATAATTTATGTTATTGTTTAATTGATCCAGATTATGGTTCTTTTGAGTTAAACTTATTTTCAATTTTCAGCTATATGTGTTTAGAACTGTGCAATCTTTAGGTATGGATTTACCAACCATTTTTCCTGTTTCCGACAAAGGTATAGGTGTGAGTTTTGCTCAAATCTGATTACAATACTTGCTTCCATTCCAAATTTTTGATACTGGGAGACATAGACAAAATCATATAAAAAAAACTTAATGAGTTGGTCAAAAAAATACATTGATAACAAACGATGTACAGGTTTAAAACCCATCCATAGAGAATACCGATGGCTGCAAAAATATGAATTCATAAGCAATAATGATAAGAGATGATAGATGATCAGTCACAGGCCCAATCTGCGAGAGAAAATTAGATAACCCACTAACATTGAATTAGTGTGACTTCGCAATTGCTCAGCCTTCACGCCGTTTAACAGAAAATAACAGTGTTTTGAGAACCACATCATAAGGTGGATATATCGTTTGAAGGGGTCTAGAGCTTGGTGCCTCAAATACGTTTATGAGAGAGTAATATAGGCAGTAAAGAGCCACCCTGAAATAAGAGCAATCTGGCTACACGAAACGAAAATCAATTATTTTATTCATGTGTTTCACTTATGCATTTTTGCCAAAAAATCAGCCTTATACATTCCATAAGACAAACCACATAAGTCATATAAGAATGCATAAAGAGTATGTGTGACCGCTTATACATTTCATTGGACACATGATCTTCATTAACTTTTTGCAAGGCGTCTGCTTATTAGTTGACTTATACATTTTATGAATAATCAGCAATATAAATTTGCCAAAAGGTAGAAGGAGATTTCTATCCGTGTTTGTGGTTCGCTCTAGCTGAAACCCAAATTTTACTACATAATCGCCAAAATGGACCAGAGCGTGTTGTGCCACAAATTGGATTTGGTTGCTAATCCACCGGAAAACGACAAGTACCGATCAGCACAAGCAAAAATGGAGAAATTGTTAAACTCCTGCGATCTTGGTGACATGAAGCCGACGCACCTATTAGCCCGGATAGAGGATCTGGCGGCTGGGCTCAATGTTGATGATTGACTAATGGAAATGTTGTTTGTGCAGTGGCGGTGTTGACGATCCAAGACGGCACACTGGCCAAGTTCGCCTATCGCCTATCGCCAAATCGTCTATCTCACGGTGAAAATCCAGAAATTCAAGGCATCTGGAAGAGACAAGAACGAAAGAATCCGACCGTCGTCTCGCGTACGACAGAGTACCAATGACCCAATTTGCGGGTATCACAAAAAGTACGGTGTAATGCTCGCCAGTGTCGTGAGCCATGTGTCTTAAAAAATCGCCAAAAGACTAGACAGCAGTCCATCTTTCACGGCGGGGGTGGGCACGAATAAGAAAAGCCGCCGCTTATCCGTTTCCGGCAGAACTAAAAACGTTCGTTTCAAGATCGATACTGGATCGGATGTTTCAATCCTACCTATTACCAGAAGAGATAGAACCAAGCAACCGATTCCGTTTCTACTGCATGCCGAAAATAGCTCAAACATCAAAACTTTCGACACATGTTTCCTGAACGTACACAGCATAAAAATAAATTTTAACATCACATCAAAGTGGATGCACTTCAATCGTGTTGAAAATGTGGTGTAACATTACTTGCCAAAAATTACAAAATTACCATTAATACAGTGCATGAACTTACATTACGCTGGTTTTACTGCATTTGCTTATTTTTTGGCCATAGAAAATTACATGATATTTTCGACATGATTGAAGCATAGAGGTAACTCCACAGACAAACAGACATAACTCTCGCAAGTTGTTCATCGAACAAGCATTTAACGGTCAATTTAAAAGTATCGTAGTTGGTAGTACCGCCACCTGTAGCGCGCATATTCAATTCCCTTGCGTTTGACGTTTACACACTACCGCCATCTGTTCAGCGTACTACCCACCACAGTGTACTCAACAGATGGCGGTAATGTTTTAGCGACGATGTTTTACAGTGAGAAATATTCAATGTGTTATGTCTGTTTGTCTGTGGTAACTCTAAGACCACTGGGTCCCGAAGAAAATCATTATTATTTTTGGCTCACTCAGTACCAAAACAACGGTCCCAAGCAGTCCCAAGCTATTTCACTCACCCCTGCATGTTCTGCATGAATCCACACACCCCTGATGTTATCTGTCAAACTTTCATAGCGAATCAAAACAAACATAGTGTAGTAATAGAATTTCAACTAGAATAGGGTACGTTAATCGTTTGCTTGGGACCAATAGGCTACTAAAGTGGTGAGCCAATTTAAAATCGTTAGTTTCGTATTGATTGTTGGTATTACCAACAATCAATAGAATAGGGTACGTTAATCGTACACCTTAGTTCAATGTGTTATACACGTTCATTTCTAGTGTTTCAAACTTTGAAAAGTTGAAAATCTTTCACTATCTATTCAAGTGTATTGCACATTGAATCACACTACTGTTCAAAACAGATGGATTTAAAGTGTTTTGCATTTCAATACGATGTGAATTGCTTGCTCAAAAAGGTAAACATCGTGGTGACTTTATCCTATCAACCCGCCTCATATATGAGAACAACAACCGTGGCACAGTGAGATCGAACGAAGACTCCGACAGCAGCACACCCCAACAGTCCATGATCGAATCCCAAACAGACCCATTAAAAAGATATGTGAAAGCTCTGGCCTCTGAAATTTGTTTATATATTTGTCGATTCATTTTTAGAGTCGGTAAAGTAGAAGTCGATAAAGTAGAATATTGTAGAATATTGAACTATGATGTGCAAAGCTATTGATATCACCATATGAGGCACATAGAATCCGAGTGTGTCACAATTCAAATCCATAGTGTTCAGGCATGGTTCATAGCATAAGATTCACACATAAAATGGATGTGTTCCACAATAAGCGCAAAATTAAGTGTGAGACACATGATGATGACGTGTGCAATTTTTTGAGTGCAGCATGACCGTTCAACGAAATGTTTTGGTGAAAAAATACAGTGAAATTAATGTTTAAATTTTGGTTGCTGAAAACATTCACTGGGTGTCGAATACGTCATTTGCACTATGAAGTGGCTAATCGCAAACATAAAGTACAGATTTTCCCAATCGATTGTTATAGATTAGTTGATTACATTTCTACAAAACAAATCACATTGTAATGCAACCGACGGTTCCTAAGATGCATGCATCTTCTGAGGACTGTTTTGAAATTAACCATACAATTTTTATTAGGGTTTGTTGTTGCCGTGCTCGGGTTTGTTTAAAATCATGCAACGATTCAGTCCCAGCCGTCGCCGCTCATCTTGTACCAACACGTATGGCTTGTTTTCAATTATCTAATTACGGCAAATTTGTTCGCGTTTGCTGTTTCAATATGACGGCAGCCAGTCGGAGTCGGGCCTGTTGACGTTGATGCAATTTCTTTCTCCAATGGAAGTGTTTGTTTGTTTTCCAATCCTCTCCAGCCGCCGCACACAGGAGTAACTGGATCAAAAACCTGACCAAAATAAGAAAATACTTGTTTGTAGGATTTCTATGCGCCGGTAACGAAACTAATCCATCTTACATTTCATTTCATTTATTTCGTTAAATTTGTCTCTTAAGTAAGATAAATGACGGATAAACACGATAATGAACAATAACAGGCGCTAGCAAATAACATCCAATTTCATTCACTTTTAATCGATAATCTTGGATATGTCGAAATTATGCCAGTTTATACTGATATCATTTTTAGTGTGCAGCGCAAAGCTGTCACTTGCTTCATCGCATAAATATAAATCGACAGTGAGCATGCATAAGGGCGTTAACGTGATGATCGATTCTTCATCGGTTTTGTCTTTGCATTGCTACAACTAAGCGAAACAATTTTCTAGAATTTATTCAATGCAGAGTTGTAACAGGTTAATTTGGCTATCAAAAGCAACAGCAAACGCACCGAGAAACGTTAATTCTAGCGAGTTATTAACAAAAGAGAAAATCGATGAA